AAACTCCTTTTGGGGACATGCATTATTAACAACAGCTTACACACTTAACCGTGTTCCATCCAAAAAGGTTGATAAGACACCATATGAGATATGGAGTGGTAAGAAACCACATATGTCTTACATGAAGATTTGGGGTTGCGAAGTTTACGTCAAACGACAAATTTCAACCAAGCTTGAGCCCAAATCTGACAAATGCTTATTTGTGGGGTATCCTAAAGAAACAAGAGGATATTACTTCTACAATCCTTCTGAGGGCAAAGTGTTTGTCGCTCGAACTGGAGTCTTTCTGGAAAGGGATTTTATTTCCAAAGGAAACAGTGGGAGGAAAATAGAGCTTGAAGAAATTCAAGAATCACAAAACATTGAAACACCTATGGAGGAACTAGAGCGGGAAACACAAGTAGTTGTGGAAGAGCAACCTGCTCAAGTAGAACAAGACCAGCGTAGGTCAAGCAGGATACGTCACCAACCTGAGAGATATGGATATCTCATAAGTGATCAGGGTGATGTATTACTCATGGATCAAGATGAGCCTGTGACCTACAAAGAGGCCATAACTGGTCCTGAGTCTGAGAAGTGGCTAGAAGCCATGAAATCTGAAATGGATTCCATGTACACAAACCAGGTTTGGACCTTGGTAGAACCTCCTATAGGAGTTAACCCTATAGGATGCAAGTGGGTCTTCAAGAAGAAGACTGACATGGATGGTAAGGTACATACCTATAAAGCAAGACTGGTTGCAAAAGGCTATAAACAAATTCATGGGGTTGACTATGATGAAACCTTTTCACCAGTTGCAATGCTTAAATCTGTTCGGATTTTACTTGCCATCGCTGCATATCATGATTATGAAATATGGCAGATGGATGTCAAAACTGCTTTCCTTAATGGGAATCTTCTTGAGGATGTGTACATGACACAACCTGAAGGATTTGACATACCACAAGATGCCCAAAAGATATGCAAGTTACAACGATCAATCTATGGATTGAAGCAAGCTTCCAGAAGCTGGAATCTTCGTTTTGATGAAACCGTAAAACAATATGGATTCATCAAAAATGAAGATGAACCTTGTGTCTACAAGAAGGTTAGTGGGAGCATGATCGTGTTTCTGGTATTATATGTAGATGACATATTACTCATTGGAAACGATGTCCCTACCTTGCAACAAGTGAAGACTTGGTTAGGGAATTGTTTTTCTATGAAAGACCTAGGTGAAGCAGCCTATATATTAGGAATTAGGATCTATAGAGATAGATCACAAAAACTGCTTGGCCTAAGTCAGAGTACATACATAGATAAAGTGTTGAGACGCTTTAATATGCATGATTCCAAGAAAGGATTCATACCTATGCAACATGGTCTGTGTTTATCAAAAACACAATCCCCTTCAACTAAGGAAGAAAGGGATCGCATGAATAAGATTCCATATGCATCTGCAATAGGATCTATCATGTATGCCATGTTATGTACTCGACCAGATGTCTCGTATGCATTAAGTGCAACGAGTAGGTACCAATCTGATCCCGATGATGCTCACTGGGTAGCTGTCAAGAATATCCTTAAGTACTTGAGAAGGACTAAGGATTCATTCTTGATATATGGAGGTCAGGAAGAGCTTGATGAAATTGGTTACACTGATGCTAGCTTCCAGACAGATAAAGATGATTTTAGATCACAATCTGGTTATGTGTTCTGTCTCAATGGTGGCGCTGTGAGCTGGAAAAGTTCAAAGCAAGAAACAGTTGCTGATTCTACAACTGAGGCCGAGTATATTGCTGCCTCAAATGCAGCAAAGGAAGCTGTTTGGATCAAGAAGTTCATTAGTGAACTTGGCATAGTCCCTAGCATTGTAGATCCCATTGGTTTATATTGTGATAACAATGGTGCTATCGCACAAGCTAAGGAGCCTAGATCTCACCAACGATCCAAACACATACTTAGGCGTTATCACCTCATTCGAGAGATAATCGATCGGGGAGATGTGAAGATATGCAGAGTACCTACACTTGACAATATCGCTGACCCATTAACAAAGCCTCTTGCGCAACAGAAGCATGATGGTCATACTAGATCTATGGGTATTAAGGGTATGCCTAATTGGCTCTAGTGCTAGTGGGAAATTGTTGGTGTAAGCCCTAGAGGCCAATATTTTTTGGTACTTGTATCGGATTATTCGTTTAATAATAAAAGGCATTTGTTTATTATGTTTGTCTTTTAGAATAATAAAGTCCCTAGAATAGTTAGTCTGTTTAATGAAATGTTAAGTGTGACTTAATCATGAGATCCCATTAAACATAAAGACATTATTCTTAAAATATCCGTAGTCAAGCTTTATTGCAAAGTGGGATAACATTAAAAGCATTGAGACTATTATGAAGATAGACTGATGATCACATCTCATGGATCATGGATAAAGAGTTATCAAGTCTTGACATAGGTATAAATATTAGGAGTAATATTTATACCGGATTGACCCGCTATGAGAATACTACATAGTATGTTATGCAAAGTGTCATAAGTTATTCTCATGGTGATAATGGTGTATTACCACCCTTCGACCTGAAACCACTATGGACCCTAGATGTAGAGTCGGGTGCTTTATTGCTGATCAAACATTATCCGTAACTGGATGATCATAAAGACAGTTGATGGGCACTCCACGAAGCATGCTGAGGGACATAGTGTCCTAGATGGAATTTGCCAATCCTGCATAACAGGAGAAATGTCTAAGGGCCCAATATTGAACTGGACAAGGATGACACAGTGTATGCCTTGTGTTCAATATAGACATAGGGGCAAAAGGGTAATTGTACAAACATATATTATCACGAAAAAGGTTTTGTCAGATCACATGACATTTTCGTGACTTGGGTAGCAGTGATGTGTTGCTAGATACCGCTTACTGTTTATTATGTTAAATATATATAATTTAATATAATTACCAACGTTACGAAATCCTACAGGGTCACACACATAAGGACAGTTTGATGAGAGATAGAGAAATCAAAAAGGAACACCGTAAGGTACGGTGCACTTAAGTGAAAAATATAAATTCGGATAATATAATAATAATTATTGTTATTTTATAATGGTTATAAAATAATAATAAAATAAATATATTTATTATAATAATAGTTATTATAATAATATATAATATTATTATGGATCATGTGAATTGGGTTTTAGCCCGCATCCCACAAGAGAGTCTATAAAAGGAACCCTTGTGATGAAGCTTTCACATGATGCAATTTCGTTTTGATTCTCTTTTCTCACTCAAATAATTCCGTTCGTAAGCAGCTAGCACTGTGACCGGAAGCTGTTCGTGTGGACTGAGTAGAGGCGTTGCACTTCATCAACGCTTGTGATCGCTGCATCAAAGATCTGAATCGCCACAAAGAGGTAACGATTCTATCACTGACCATGCTCATTCGTAAGGATCACTAAAGGAAATTTTTGTTTTCCGCTGCGTTTAGATCGCAATTTTCCTTCAACAAGGTTATGCTCCATAAACATCATTTGAAGACTATCAAAGTAACTACAACATAACTCTTCATTAACACAGAAAAACATCACATATCATTTGAAATTAGTTCATTTGAAAACTACATAAACATCAAAGTAACTACAACATTTGACATTACATCATTTGAGTACATGTATTGCAACTAATGCAAACACAATTAAAAAGACAAACATCAAAGATAACCCCACAAAATAATACATAAACCTAATTTTCATCTTCAACAAATCTTCATTTTTCTTGATGTCCTTAATCACATCCATGAGCTCCTCATTCTTGTCTTTCAAAGATCTTATCACATCTTTAACACGACTGCTCATGTCTTCATCAACCCACTGAAAGTAATTACATCTTTTTTTCTTCATCAGTTTAAAATTACCGCACCTATGAAATCTTCTTCCGGAATTATCGTATGTCCATGATGTCATCAACGGTGACTCAAACTCACACCAACATCTATTACCTCTTCTTTTTATACCAGACCCAGACTGATTTGTTGAGGAAAAAGAAAAATTCGTTTTGGACATGTTGGTAAATAGGAGGGCTGGTATGGGTTTGTTGACGAAAATGGGTTATAATGGGAAGAAGAGATGCGAGTTGTGAAGAAATGGGAAGATGAAATGCGTTCGTGAAGAAATGGGAAGATGAAAATGGTTGAAGATGAAAATGGTTGAAGATGAAAATGAAATAATATTTAGTTAATGTTTTTTTTTTTAAGTTTTATTTTATTAAATTTGTGAAAATGAAATAAAATCGGTTGAAGATGAAAATGAAATAATATTTAAGTTAATGTTTTTCTTTTAAAGTTTTATTTTATTAAATTTGTAAAAATGAAATAATATTTAAGTTAATGACATGGAAATGCCACATCAACATTTAACGCGCCAGCTCATTAAAACCATGACTTAAAATGACAAAGGGACTAATATTAATCTTGAAATCTAAAAAAGAAACCAAAATCGTAGTTTTTAAAATGGGGGGATCAAAACTCAAAAAAACACAAAATAGAGGGACCAAAATTGCAATTAAGCTTTAATATTATTATAAAATTATATAATGCTGTCTTATATCTATGTTAAATCAATTAAAATGTAACAGCACATCATACTCTATTACAAACATGATTATCCCAATCAACAAAAATTATGAGCAAAGACTACATATTATGTAGTGGTTGCATTTTGTACAAACATAGGAATGTATTCTGCATAATAAACTGTCATTTATGGCTGGAGAAGATTTGCAATACATCAATTTTATACAAAAGTTAACATGCACTTCACCAGGCTTCAAATGCACAGGGAACCCAACAGATATTGGCTCCACGCATTATTTATCACAACCAAAAATAAGCAGCTTAATATAGTTACTCTGGATTTCAGATTATTATACTGCTAAAACTAAGACTAATTACTGTAAATTTTCCTAACAAAAAGGACGAGAAATACAACTTCCATGCCGAGCTAGATGCTGCTTTCTACATAGCAGACTGGAAAATCATCTCAGCTAGCTCCTGTAACATAGTTAGACATATATATTAGAATCTGTGTAAGTTGGTAAGTAAATGTCCTAATGATTCATGAAAATTATGATTCAGGCCCAAAAAAAGGCCCAAAGCGTTTTTTGTCTTCCAATCTTGCTTCAAAAAGCTCGATCTTGACCACACACCCGCAACGAAAACAAACTTTCGCTGATCGCAGCACTCTCAGACATCATTGGCATGTATGATATTGCGATCTTATGATCCAGCACTTGATCTTGACTACACTGAGTTGGGGAACATTCATTCATCTACATATGTTATACATTACAAGGTAATGATATCCCTTATTGTTTCAGGAGATTTTAAGTTTTAGTTACCTGTTTTGCAGAAGCAACCTTTGGTTCTCCCCATTCCTTGATCTTCTTCTCCAGAAAATCAAAGTCAGCTTTTCCAGCCTATGGCAACAGACATTTCCAATCAAATAAAACACAAAAAGCATTGAATATAAATGAAAAGAAAATGTATGGACAATACTACCTCTACTTTAGCCCCAATTTCTGTATCAAAACTTTGATATCGCTTGCGGACAAGCTCGGCCAGAGAACCGTCCTTTTGGTCAAACATAATGAGAAATGATTAGTTTGCTTGTCATGAGAGATTGAAAACTACAAGCTTTCAGATTGACATTACAGATAAAAGTTGGTGTAAGGGAGGATAGAATGTATCACCTTAACTAGCTTGGCAGCATTTCTGAGGCCTCGGGCCATTGTATCCATTCCAACAATATGAGCTATGAACAAGTCTTCAACATCTGTGCTCTCTCTCCGCCTAAAATGTCACTTGGTAAGTAAATTGTAAAGGTGGAAAAAGTGATGAGTACAAAATATAGTGAAGGACTCACAATTTGGCGTCAAAGTTGAATCCACCTGGTGCAATTCCATCCTAGAAAATCAAGAAACAGAAAAGAATAACCCCGTCAGATGATATTGTGTTTCTAAGGTGAGGAGTGTTGCACTTCAAGACACGAGTCAAGAAACAAGTGCTTCCATACATTTCTGATAACACTGAGCATAATCAGTGTTGCCTCTTGGATATCTACGAGAAACTGATCTGTGTCCCAACCTGAAATTGTGATCAAAGTTTCATATTACAATTACAACTTCCTATAATACATTGCGACAAGTTAACACTAACACTAAGTCTTCCATGTTAGAAGTTCATTATTTTTATTTGTTACATAGTAGAGAATTTGCACGTACCAACTTGAGGATCACCGGTATTTGCATCAATATTACCCAACAGTCCATTAACCCTTGCAGTTTCAAGCTCGTGGTGACAACTATGACAGGCATTGGAAAGTACAACAAACATGTCCAGATTCAGTAATGAACAGCAAAATTTAATTAGAAAGTATGATCAGTAACTTCACATGTGAGCACAATGTACAATGAAGCATTCACCTGTGACCAGATAGGGTGGCATGGTTGCACTCAATGTTAATTTTGAATTCCCCTACAGAAGAAGCAAAATTGAGAAAGTGAGAAATCTGTGCAAGTGATACAACACAATTCTTAATGACGGAAATTAGAGAAACCTGAAATCTATGCAAGCAGTGAAGAGATTTGTACTGCTTTTGTTGGGGTACAATTTTGGCTAAATTCATACATATTATGGATAATGTGGCCATTTCAAGTATAAAGAAATTTTTTTAACTCAGGAAGAGAGGGGAAATACAGTTTCATAGAGGAAAAAGTAGCATACAGGACTTTAGATCAGCATTTAGATTTTAGGGCAAAGTAAATTACCGATTTAGAATAAGATAAAGAACAATTAGAAATTATATACAGTTCAAAATCTTACTGGTTTAATATTTGACAACATAAAAAATTTCATTATAGAAAGACATCACACCCATTTTTTGGTTCTTGGGAGACATTTGAATGGTGAACACAAGCAAATATTACCTATAAGTCCATATTTTCGCAAGAAATTAGCTGTAGTTGCAGCATCCCAATCATACCTGAAGGAATACAAATTAGTAATGTGCATAATAGGCATTGTGGAGTTGTTGATTGAATAGGTAGGATACGTACTGGTGTTTTGTAGGCTCTTGTGGCTTTGGTTCAATTAAAAGTGTCCCTAAAAGCATAGGGAAAAAAACATAAGAAAAATTAATTTTATTAAGAAAAGAATTATGGTGTATTCCACATAGAGATAAAATTATAGCTGCGCTCTACTCCTCGCCGCCTCCTATGTTTCATAATGTAGTGCTATACAAAGATCCAGCTAGTTGGTATTCTAGGGAATGTTTACCATTGAATCCGATCTTCTTTTTGTGCGCAACAGCAGCTTCAAAAAATCTAGCCTGTAACCAGGTAAATAAGCAGAATCATTGTTTTTAGAAGATAAAACACATTGCAGATTAGAAGGCAAAAACTACATAAAATTTTGGAGTAGGCAATGAATTACCAAAAGCTAGAGTGTACAAAAAATTTCTATTGAAAATAGATGCAGAGCATTTAATAAAATCAAAATTTTCGCTAAGGCCTCTTACTGAGCTCTTAATTACATTTTTTTAGCATTAGCATTGAGACCAGGAATATTATTATTATTTCTTTATTTTCAAGGATATTTCTTTTACATTGTTTACCAACACAAGAGGCAAAAAGAGAGAACAATCAGATCACTAGTTAAAAGATAGATAGATTCACGTACCATGTGATTAAGCTCTCGTTCCATATCTGTGTTCAAAAGAGATTGGTAACCCTCACGTCCGCCCCAAAACACATAATTTTCTCCTCTCAAATAATGTGTCACCTGCAATATATTTTTATCATCAGCAAAAATGAACAATGGTTCTGAAAAATACAATCGGTGTTGTTACTATAACTGTACTATATCTATATGAATGTACCTCCATGGCTTTCTTCACTTGAGCAGCAGCATATGCATACACCGCTAACTCAGAGCTGTAAAGAATTTCACTTTGTGAGTCACAAGGACTGTATAGACAAGCTAGGAGATAATGGTATATAATATTACCTAGTAGCACCACCGTGCATATAGCGAGGATGCATGAACAACTGAGCTGTTCCCCATAAAACACTCTTTTTATTCTATATATGAAAAAGAGATGGAAAAAATTGTGATATCAACATTTCAAACCATAATTTCACTAAAAAAATCTTAAACTTCTGCATTCTCTAGGTTTCTAAATATTTCATAGTATATATTTGAAGTGAAGCATAATTACTGGAATTATGTATTGATTTGAATACAAAATATATCACTTTTCCTACTTTAAGCTGATTATCTGAAAAACAATTATTATATATTTAAAGATTCATTCATGTCAAATTACCTTAGTCTGAAGCTCTTGAGCAAGAGCCACCACTTCATCCAGGTTTGCATTTGTTTCCTAAGACAAAGGCAACATTGCATCAACTATGTCTATGACCACAGTTCAATAATATCATACTTTGATCCTCTCTAAGAATGCAACTAAGTAAAACTGAGAAAATTTTAAGGATTGGCTCACCTCAAGAGTTGGTGCATCAGGTGCGATATCCCTATCGTGAAAGCACCAAAAGTCGACACCGAGTTTGTTTATGAACTCAAAATTTGCTCTCACTGTGACGATTAAGAAAATTTTATCTAGTATCACATTATAATCTCCAAATATATAAAGTATATCAAATGTGAGAGTGAAGAATTAACATACTCCTTCTTTTAGCCATGCTTACTGAATTGGTACCATCTTCCCATGGCCAATGTTTGGTAGGTGCGCCGAATGGGTCACCACCTGTTCCACGGAATGTATGCCAAAATGCAACACTAAATCTGAACCAATCCTAAATTTACATAAAATAAATTCAAATCAAAATCCAAGAGTAAGTCAAATAAAAAAGACCACTTTATAATTCAAAACCAACCTTCATCTTCTTCCCAAGAATTTCCTCTTCTGCATTATACCATTTAAATGACAGCGGATTCTTACTCGAAGGCCCCTGAAAGTTAAGTAAATGTACTAATAAATAGACACACAACACATTACTATGATCAAATTACTAGATCCAAACTCATTAAACTTGAAGGGCGTCTCTAAGATTTCTCAAGTAGAGGGAAATTGGGAAATACATGCAAACACCAGAGCCCTCTCCCATTAATCATTAAAAAGAAGTTTGAATTTTCAAAATTTTGGAGGAGTTAGGAGGATCTCAAACTCCCAAATAATCAAATAAACCTCTATTATCCTCTTGTTTCCCGCATCCCCTTAATTCCTTACATCTTCCTCATGATTTTAAATTGAGGTCTGCAGGACCGCAATATTGTTGATGCGGTAGTCTCAGCAACTGCATCAGACTTCAATCGCATTTGAGGCTGCTGATGCAGTAGTCTCAGCAACCGTCAATCGCAATCGAGGCCGCAATATTGCTGATGTGGTAGTCTCAGCAACCATTGTGGCCGCAATATTGGTGATGCGTGATTTGAAATCACGAGCCCTTCCACATTAGGAAGGGCATCAGACAACTTTGTACAGGCTTCTTCAAGTATTTTTGTCAAAACGCAAAATTTAAGACTCCAAAACTCAATTTACTTCTTAAAAATCTTGAGATCAAGTGTTTTTAACTGTGTATTTCAAACTCTTCTCAATCAAAATTCACAAAGCAACACCACAGCCGCAATTTAAAACCATGATTTGCCTCATATCCCAAACACAGTCTTAAGTTCATCTTCAGTAAAAAAAGTAGACCATTATAATCTTCACATTATCATTTTAACAAAAAAAAAAAGGAAAAATTATGATAAAAAAGTTAACCTCGTATTTAATTTTGGAAATGCCAGGGAAAAACTCCCCTTCCCAATCATCTGGATCCCCGCATTTACCAACATTAGCAGCAGGACAAGTCTCGGGTACAGCAATCTGATATCCATCAACAAAAACAGATCTCAAAGATTGAACAATAACATACACACAAATACATAAAGAAAAAAAGTATCAATACCACTGCATAACAGAAAACACTGAAACAAAGAAACAGTGACAATTTCCCAAATTTCATCGTCGTAGATTTACGAAACTCCTGCGAAATAGAGAGTAACGAAATCGATCATCAATTAACACATTAACATCACAAAACACATCACAAAAGAAGTGGTGAAGAGTGGAAACGTATGAGATTGAGGCGTTCACCGATCGATACTGTAAAATGGCGATTTCTGAATTTCCTGATCAGATAGGTCTGTTGTGCGTTTATTTATAGTGAAAATCACGTAAACTAAATTTAGAAATCGAGGAATTTGAGTTCTTGATTGCTACGAAGTTGGATAAGAACGATATCAATTGTATAGTGATATATCACGTGTCAGAGTGTCCGAAAATGGATATTGCATGAATTTATTTATTTATTTTTTATTACCTTTTTAAATTTATTAAATAATATAGAACATAATGGTTTTCACAAAATAAACTATCAATTAAAAGAAATAATTAAATTGATCATTCAATTTAAGATGTTAGTTGTAAAATATGTGGTCAAATTTGAGAAATTGACTTGAATTTTTTATTTCACTTTATGAATTTCTTTTTCAAAACGTGGTTTATCACAAATATTTTTAGGTTTTGAAGATATATCTCATGACGTATTTTATGACTTAATAATATTTTAGAGATATGTTCCGGACACATTTTACACATTATGTATTTGTTCGCAGATGAATTATAAAATAACAGACACATTAAAATAACATAACAATATAGTAATAGGATGTCATACAAGCCTTAAGACCAAAATGTAATAACAATGTCAGGAAAAACGAATAAATTATATTACTGAAACAAAATAAATACAAACAACTATTGGGTGTGCCTGACAACCTCTCATGTGTCTCCTCTGTCTGATCTGCCTCATCGGCCATCAAACCCCCTGTCCTCGCGCGATATCTGTGGTACAAAAGTGCCCCATGTGCTTCTGCAATAATGTCATATGGTACTCGTCTGACAGCAGACCCCTCGGGGAAGATACCATCGCCAATGCTTGCCCGCGTCATCTCCACTATGCAACGACAACGAGACAAGACATCCTTAATATGATCCATCTGAGCCAATGGCGGCCTCTGCCCTCAGAATCACAACTTTGAAGCCCTGATCATCCATTTGTACTAACAAACAATACATGGAGTTATTCTAAACTATATTTCATCTAATTTCTAAACATTTCAACACCTAACAATGAATTCTAACTCGTTTACAACAAAACTCGAATATTTATCGGAAACTCAAAAAATTTACCCGGATTATATGATTTGAAAGATAATGAATGATGCACTTAATGAAGCTTGATGATCACTTGATCCTCGGACGAAAGAAATAAAATTTGGTGAAGTTTGGAAATTTTGGGAATGAGAGAGATGAAGAGGTTTGTCAATAGAAATGAAAAAGTGTGGGAGGAGAAGAATCTGACACGACAATATGTTTCAAATTGTTCCGGAGATATATCTCCGGAATATTTCAACGTTCAGATATATCTCCGAAATAGCTTAACGTTTAGTTAAAATAAGGTGCTTCCGGAGATATATCTCCGGAAGATAGGGGCATTATAGAAAATTTGCATGGTATCTAAGAAAAACATATGGTGCTTTAAGAAATTCTCTAAATTTTCTATTTTTACATTGTGGTTAAATAGGGTTTTATGATAGGTTTTGTTAGTAAAAAAAAACTTAAGTTCATGAATACATGGAGTTAACACACAAATTGGCACAAAGCTTGCACACACTCAAAAAGTTTGGTTATTTAGAATGAGAATGAATGAGAAGAGATGAGACATTGAGAGGGAAAAACAATCACATTCATTTGTTACAACGATCATGTTACAAGTGTTTGAATAGCTATGACTTACATTATAAGTCACCAACTAACGTCCTTACACTTATTGCTATATAATTAACTTTAATAATATAATCGTCAAACTTAAAACTAATTGGATCTTGTACTACAAGTAACTATAATTGGTCTAAATAAATTACTCTCAACACACCACCTAATTTATTATGGTCAAAGTCTCTAACCCCATTAAAGTCATATGCTTATTAAATATTTCAACTTGAAGTGCCTTTGTCATGATGTCTGCAATTTGGTCTTCACTTTTGTAATGCTTTAAGCGTCGTCTCCCATTGCCAACTTGCTTTCTAAGATAGTGAAATCTTAGAGAGCAACAAGGTTCTTAGCCAAAGTTTTGGCAGAAATGTTATCAATCTTCATAGTCATAGGTCCATGACGTTGACCTTCAATTTCATCAATTAGATTTACCAATCATATACCCTAACAATCACACAATGATGTTGCAATTTATTCTGCTTAACATGAGGATAAGGCCACCACCGGATCCTTCCTTGAACTCTAAGCTATTAGTGGGCCACCCGACAAGAAAACATATAATGTTATTGATTTTTTGTCATCAGTGTCCCCACACCAACTGGAGTTAGTGTATTTGACAAGCTTACACACCTTCCCTTTGTCTGTTACTGGAAACCATATACCATAATCCAATGTACCTCTAATATACCTTATTATCCTCTTAGTAGCTACTAGATGTGATAACTTAGACTTTTACATGAATCTACTTACCACACTTACAATGCACGTAAGATCAAATCTTGTGTGGCCGATGATTGCAGTATTCAACATCAAAAGTAAGCATTTGTTTTATCATATCCACATGGATCGATAAGATATTAAATGTCTTTCAACAATTTATATAGTTTAAAAGACAAGTTTTCAAATTGTTTGTTTGCACAAAGTACGTAATGTAAAAATGGTAAATAATAAGTGGAGTTTCAAATATGAGAAAGCTTGCTGGAATTGAGATTCATCCACTCATCCCACATGTATTCTTCCGATCAGTTATACAAATATTAGTCATTTGATCAATATTATCATGTATCGCTCGCCCACATTATTTATGTTAAAACTCCTGACAAGAGTTCAACTGTATAGTTTAATCGACGATCTCTCAGCCTATTAAATAATACGGTAGCATTAATATTCAATACTATTGTGAATGTTAAACTTAAATCTATGTCAGAGTTTAGGATCTAACAAATGACAATCCTAGATCGGGAATCAAAGAGTATTTCTCAATAATGGTTTGAATCTATAAGCAAAACAAGTAAATAAGGATAACATCAATATCAATAAACGACTAATTCATATATAACACCATGATCATAATAAATACATATGGTACCAATGGACATCCAATCCCAACAAGAAATAGGTTTAGCTACTCATGGTAGCTTTGATTACAAATGAGAAAAAAGGAAGATGGATGAGCATCAATGACGATTTCTCGATGATTGATGCGTATCCACTTTGTATTCTTCAACTCTACTATTCTCTTTGTCTCTTTTTTTCTTACTAAACTATTTTGCTCTAAAAATTGTCAGCTCCCTCAAAATGAAATGTTTCTAAACTATATATAGTGGCCTTGACCTACTGCTCTCGCATGGCGAGCCACCTTTCTTCACTATGAAATCTTTGTCAACTCAGCATCTCAAAATGCCTTGTCTCATTAGGCAAGAAAAAAAAGGCTCGCATGGAGAGCTTCCTCACAACAGCTTTGCATTGCGACGATGGAGCATTTTTCCACTGGAAAGTTTTTAACTTGTCTCGCCTTGCTTTCGTTGTTGCTTTGCTAGGTGAGCTGGCTTGCTTGAGGCTCGCCTGGCGAGAAGAGTTATGTTTTGCTTCTATTTCTCAACGCCTGAGCCTCACTATTAGCTTGCTAGGAAAGCTCTCACATTGGCCTCTCTAGATGCTCGCCTGGCGAACATGTAAGAACTTTTCTTCTTTGCTTTGTGTTTCAATCTTGGTTAACTGTGGGAATTTTTGCACAATAGCAAAGAGATCGAAAGACACCACATATATATGCATCAAACTTAATTCTATGCAATACTTGGGGAAATCAATGGTATAAAACGTTAGTTTGAGCCCATAAGTGCCGAGTTTTCATGTGAATAAAATTATCTTTTGGAACTTATCAAACTCTTTCCAACTTGAATCTTTGTTGGTTTTTAATCAAAGTTTTAAAACTTTTTCAAAAGCAATAAGATTCATCAAGCTTCATGATCAACAACATTTTTCAAAACAAATGGAGGAAATGTATGGTTCAAGTTAATGAACACACGTGTTAAGGTTATGCTAATGAAAACATGATTATGAATTAAGTTCTAAACATAAATGTCATGTCATACATTCTAAAGCAACACCATAATTCTACTTGAATCACCCTAACACTCTTATTCATAAAATGGATGAAGAACTTTGTGAATTCAATCATGCAGAAAGTAAACTCTCATCCAATAATCTTGCTAACATCTTGATCAATTCATATATTCATCTGAACAATCTATTTTGAAATTATGAAAGCATAGATCACCAAGGACTTGTCCATAGTTGTAACTTGGCCTAATTTCACAAGAAAATGTCATTTATAAGGCCATTGAAACAAAAATGGTATAAGTTAATGAAGAGCATCTCAAATTTGTACTTAATCCACACTTTTCCTTTTCTCATTTTATTTTCCACCTCTCAAAATCTTTTGGTGCAACAATGTGCTCATTTGTTTTTCATTTTTTTCTTTTTCTTTATTTTTGTTTCTCTTTTATTTCTTTAATCTTTGTTCAATTTTCTTATTTACTTGCCCAAGAAGCAACCTCTCCCCAACTTAAGTGATTATCACTCTTATTTTAAGAACAATACTTTTCATTCTTGGTGATTCATCAAGATTGATTAAGGGTTTACTTTCAAGGAAAAAGAGAATGGATCAATGATAAACTTTATTTTTTTATTTTTTTTATGAAAGACAATAAATTCACCAAATGGTTGACTTAGTGATTTGTTGGAGTTCAAAATTAATTCATTCACAACTTTTTATGGCTCAAAGGGGTTCATAAATGATCATTCACTCAAAAGGTAGGATGATGCCATTTTGGTTTGGTGGCTTTACTTAACATCAAAAAATTGCATTGGTCATTTCTATGCTTCACAAATTTCAAAACCATT